CCCAGCATTTACATATGTTAAAGACTCAAGTGTAATAGTATATATATTATGTATATTCATATAGATGGAGCTACAAAGCATTTACTGAGCATTTATTAATAGAACATTTATCAATTTTACATGAGCACAGTGTCTCACATTTTGAATGCCCAGGGTCAGAAGAAAAATAAAGGGCTTTCCTTCTGGCATACTAAAGACTTTCTACTCTGAATAATTTCTACAGCTCATTTTAAAGACATTATAGGCATTTAATTCTTCCACAACAAAAAGGTGATTAAAAAGTTAGCAAGCATATCAATTATCATCTTCATAAAAATTCCCAAGTCCATGTATGTTTATGTTACAAACTCCACAGGTTTCTGTGAGGGCCTGGCTGGAACAGATTGATACCATAAAAGAGCGAGCAGGGCTACAATTGCAAATAGACTGTGTACACAATAGAAAAAATAAGAAATGCTCACAAAACATATCTAATAAACATAAAATGCATGTTTACAACTGTCCTGGCCTAAACTCATGCATGCACATGATCTACAAAGTGTGCTATGTGTCATCATTTCACCAATCCCTGGCCTGGTTTCATAAATGTAAGCATCTATGTTACTACATGAAAATTCTCTCACCACGACAATGCACCTAGAAGTCTTCCTGGGTATTCCATTTCACCTGACCGCAACCAAGTCTGTCTTGCTCCCTCTAGGTGATTATGGCTATGATGTATTTTCCTTGTTTGAAAGCTCAGTGGCTTGTTTCTGAACAAGAGAAAAATATAAAAAAGAAAAAAATATATGAGCTCTGTCTAAATCAAACTACTGGAAGTAGACAAGGAACTGAGGTGTAGGGATAGAAAGCAAATGACACGAGGGAATCCCAAATCAACTCACTTAGGCAAACAATGGCCACTCAGTTCACAGAAGACAGGAGAAATTTTAACAGAACGTTGCACAGTTTGTCATTATCCTAGAAATGACCTTGGAACCACAAGTTGATGTCACACAACTATCAAATATCAGAAACTCCTAACTTCTCTTTATTGCTCCTCAGCTCACCCATGTCTACCATGAATGATTACCATACAGCTTCCAGCTATTGGCCTGCGATTAAAGACTGAGGGCTCACAGAATTCTGCCCCCAGGAAGCCACACAAGGGTGGTAGAAGCCACCGCCTCAGTCAGGGAAAGCACCTGGGGCAGGCGACTTCCTGCCAAAGACCCATCTGCTCCTGCAGCTGACTCACACCAGAGAGGTGGGCGTCAGGAACAGGGAGAGCGGGCAGAGTGAAGACATCCTTCCCCAGCGTCGGTTGCGGCACAACTCAGTAATTTCCCCACCAGTGCTAGAGCTCTGGCGGTTGTTCCAGGAGGCAGTGAAGAAGGGAAGCATAGATTGTGCTGAACTTGTCCTCCCCCACCCTTTGGGCTCCAGATCAGCAGCACTGCAGAAAGGAAACCTAAACTTGAGGGCACGCTAGAGATAATGACTTGATGATGTGTGCCATGAAAAGGACTAGCGCTGTTAAAGAACAAGAAAAGCAGATTTCACCGAGCGCAGTTAGCCCATGGGATTAATCTGGAGTCACAGCTGGGTAACCCTGGGGCTCCCCAGGAGGCAGAATGCCCAGAATGCAGGTTGCAGTGAAATTCCCAGCACAGAGAGGACAGACAAGCACCGGGTGCTCACCCACAGCCCCCCAGGGACGGATCGCAGGCCAACCGCCTCAGCCTTCGGAGTAAGCAGCTTCCTCTGCTTCTCCATCTCACTCAAGAGCCGCTCTCCTGCAGAAATGTGTTGGTCACTAGCTAGTCTTGACTTTTATATCCATAAAATGTAGCCACAAACTGACTCGCTTCGTTCTAGCTTTAAAATTTCAGAGAAATACTAATTTTTTAAGCTCTTTTCTGAACCCCATGGGTGGATAGTTCTTATAAAACCTTAAAGAGTTTGCAGACTAGCTATGGGTGGGGCCAGAGGCGGAAGTGGGTAAAGAAAAAGAAGACCCCCAAAACGAAAGTTTACCAACAAATAACCTCTGATGGATTCTCTTCATTGACCAAATTTGAATAGTCAGATAGAAACTGAGCTTTTATTAAAGGAGCTAATCCACTCAATTAGAAAACACACTGACAGGATCCATTGAATATATTTTTAGATCTCTTCACTTAACTAAGCAGAATTCTGTAGATCAAATCGGCCCCAGTGATGAATCTCAGCATATTTTCTAACAATTTTACTTGGATCAGAACACCTGGCAGCCAAACATAACATTAGATAACCTTAAAATCAGCAGTCCACAACACTTACCTTGGAAGAAAGCATGTTATGTTGTAGTAGAAAGAAGGAAGACCTAAATGCAGCGGACTATATGTGACTGCAGTTGCAATGAAAATACCCGATGGTTGTTCCTAAAAATATAAAGAATATAAATTCACTTATCTTTCTTATCTCTCTTTCAAACACTTTCAAATTCAGTTTTTAAAATGCAGTATATGAAAGCAAGGCAACCCTCAATTTTAATTTACTATATAATACAATAAAATGATAAAATGTCTACATCAGATATTGCTCACATGGCATCCAAGACTTTGTATTTTTTTGCCTGTTATGTGTGCACACACAACTTTACAGATAATATAAAGCAGGAGTTGGCAAAACATCTCTCAATTTGACCAGAAAGTATTTGTCTTGGCAGACCACTCAGTCTCCATCCCTGTGCCCATTTCATCTTCATAGCATGGAAGTACCCATGCACAATAACTAAACAGAAGTGCATTTGCTCCAAGAAAACTTAACATGCAAGCACGGGAAGGTGGCTGCCTTTGGCCCACTGACCACAGATGCCAGACACAGGCATAAACTACTGTGTGTAACAGAATACGATCCATTCAACATCAATTTAAATGTATCTAGGAAAGAGCTGAAATAAGAACTTTGTCCTTTTATTTAACTTCAAAGGTATGAATACCGTTGAGAGTGAAAACCACTTCTCAGGCATCTATTCATAGGCTACAAATTACAATTTGTATTCTAGAATTTTAAAACATAAGGCACTATCAAAAACAGCATTGAACTCTTCCAAGTATTGAGACATGGTCGATATTTGCATACAATTCATCTTTATGTCTACCGTTTAGCATCAATGAAACGTGGTAGGCAAGAATGCTTGTTAGTACCTCAGATTATCCAAAAGCCCATAAAATGTCCACAGTAAGACCTTTTAGGGTGAGCATTATACAGGACAATACTATGCATTAAAGACATTCAATTTAGCTGGAGTTCTGACAAACAGGAAAGCGAGAGTCCGGGGACAATCTGATTTGAGGAACAGGTGGGTAATAGAACTCAAGTCACATTATCAAATACCTATTCCTCTTCCCACCTTTACAACTATACATCTTGTCCTTTCTGAGTTTCCTCTTTTTTAGGCAGTTTCTCCTTTCCTGGGTGCTTACTGGAAACCTCAGTAATTATCTGCTTAGAATTTATTTGTAGTCTCAATTAAAAAGTGTGAGCCTTGCCAGGGATTTAGCTCAGTGGTTTCGCTACCTCCTGCGCAAGTGCAAGGACCCAAGTTCGATCACCGGTACCAAAAAAAAAAAAAGCATAAGCCTCTTTCCCTAGACATCCCAGACAGAGCCCTACATAGTTTCCACTTGATTTAGCATGATTTTGTGAAGTGAGAATTGGCATAGCTTTTTCACATACTTACCAAATATTTGAGTCCCTGCATCTTACTAATCAGCCTTTCTATATGGCAGCTGAGTAGACTCTATCCTAAAGTGAGTGCTTGCCACACATTTGACATCGTTTTAGGTACTAGAGACAGAGCATTAAATAACCAGGGAGGCCATGTGTCTGAAGCCAGGAATCTAATGCGTCCAGAAAATCATCTCTACCAGTGTAGGAGAGGTTTGCTTCCAAAAGGCAGGACCAAATAGAGCAACAAATTCATTTAAAGAGAAAAATAAAGTTTTCTCATCTCAGGAAAGATTATTCCTCTTATTAATACAGAAGCAATATGACCAGACAACCCAGTGTAAATTGAAATTTTAGGTAAACAACAAGAAAGGAATGGGAGATTGAAAATCTATTTAACAATAAATGAGTCCCTCAAGTTAGATTTCACTAGGGAGGGGGAGGGGAAAGGGAAGGGAGAAGGTGATTAGTTTATATTACTTGAGCTTAGTTCTCTTTGTTGTTTTGTGGCCCTAAAGCAAAGCATGCACTATTTGTTGGAATAATAAGTGCTCTTACATAGACACCAATGCCACATGAAGTTAGATGATACATGAAGTCAAAGTACTCAGGCAGCATGATGGAGACTGGGCAGCCATGTCCCAGGGTTAACTCCTGTGACTGGACTTGCAGGTTGTCCAGTAGAGGGTATCGATCCAGTCTAACCCGTAGCCAGATTTCGGTACAAATCACCCACACTGTTGAGAAGATAAAACAGGGAAGCTATCAACAACATTTGTTCCCCAAACAACAGCTCCAACAACTTTCTGTCACCATCACCTCATTGACCTGAATTCCTAGATGCAGAGTGACAATGTTTTGTTTCTGTGTATTTTCCCACAGTGAGATCATGAGTAAATTGCTTCACCTCTGTGTGGCTCCATTTCCTCATCTGAGGGTGGAAAGGTCACATTTTTCCTGAGAAGCTATGAGCCAAAGATCTTCCCTTTTGGAAATCATTCCAACTTTACCAACTTGTCTCATGAAAACATTTTCAAACTATTTGCAAGCACAGCAGATGTGGTTCTCAAAAATGGGAAGGGAAGCTTTGGTACAGGTTGCACACATTTGGAAAATGTATCCTGGGCTTCCATTAAAAAATGTATTTTGACCATCAACTGGAGAATGGGTAAAGAAAATGTGGGCTTTTTATAAAATGGAGTACTACTCAGCCATAAAAAATGAGAAATTAGAGACATTTATAGCCAAATGGATGCACATTGAGG